CCAGGCTAGAGTGCAGCGGTGTGATCTCAGCTCACTGCAACCTCCACCTCCTGGGTTCAAGCAACTCTCCTGCGTCAGTCTCCCAAGTAGCTGAGACTACAGGCACCTGCCACCACGTCTGGCTAATATTTGTATTTTTGGTAGAGACGGGGTTTCACCATGATAGCCAGGCTGTTCTCGAACTCCTGACCTCATGATCCACCCACGTTGGCCTCCCAAAGTGTTGGGATTACAGGTGTGAGCCACTGCACCCAGCCTCTATATTTTTTTCTAATTATTAAATTCATAGTCATTGTATAAAATGTGTAAAATACAAACTCATGTGAAGACATAAAGCCACCATAATTCCATCAGCAGAGAATGATCACTGTGAACATTTTGGCATATGATGATCATCCCAGTCTTTTTTTTTTGAGATGGAGTCTCACACTCTTGTCCATCCTGGAGTGCAGTGGTGTGATCTCGGCTCACTGCAACCTCCTCTGCCCAGGTTCATGCAATTCTCCTGCCTCAGTCTCCTGAGTAGCTGGGATTACAGGCACCTGCCACCTCACCCAGCTAATTTTTGTATTTTTGATAGAGACAGGGTTTCACTATGTTAGCCAGGCTGGTCTCAAACTCCTGACCTCAGTGATCCCCCACCTCGGCCAGCCAGTGACCCTCACTGGGGTGCAGCTCCTGGGGCAGCACCGTGTGGTGAGACCCCAGCTCCCATTGTGGGCACTGAGCAGACCCAGTGGGCTTCCCCTGACGTGCCAGCCCAAGGAAGCCCCCTGGTGCCCACATTGGCATTTTCTGGAACCTCCAGGGGTTGGCTGGTGCTCACCTCACAGCCCTCCCATCTGCAGGGAGCTGGTCTGGCCGATCCCGAGCAGCAAATGGTGCTGCTGCCAGGAAGGCTGACCCCAGGCTTGGGCGGGGTCTGCAGTCCCGGCCTTCTACCCCAGCAGCAGCTGACCTGGCTGTGGACTCCTGAACCCAGTGCAGCAACCAGGGATGTGGGGGAGAGTGGCCTGGAGGGTTTATTGTGAGAAGGGCCCAGAAGCCAGAGATCCCATAGCCCAGCCCCACTCAGGTCTCACCCAGGCTCTTGGGTGCTGCGTGCTGTGTTACTCGCCAGCTGCTCGGCATTATAATTGAAGGCTGCTGCTGAAGCGCGGGCAGATCCCAGCTGCAAAACGCAGTTCCTTCCTCGAGCTGCAGAACGTGGCTGGTGGGGCTGGCTCAGCCCGGAGTGAGCGTTCACACTAGGGCTGAGTTCAGAGATGAGTGGGTGGGAAGGTGCAGCAAGGCCCTCAAGGGTCCCCAAAGGCGCCGAAACCCCATGAGGGAGAGGCTGGAGACAAGGCCCTGGTCCAGCACTGGGCCCTACAGGGCTGTTGGGTGGCCGTGCCAGTGCCAGCTGGGTTTTGCCTGAGTCCTGGCAGGGGCATCCGTGACATGGTCGGGCAGTGGCGCAGCAGTGGTCATTGGGAACATTCTCTGGATATCTCGGGGGGTGTCACAGAGAGCAGCTGTGCCGTGAGGCTCTCGTGCCGTTGCACAGGAGGACACCAGATCAGGTAAGGAGCTTCGGCCCAGCCTGACTCAGCTTCTGCTTCCTCCCTGGAGGGGGATCCCCCGCCTGTGCCCCCAGCTTTTGTTTGGCTGAAAGTTGGGCCTTGAGGCCCCAAGCATCTGAGGAATCTGGGTCTCTCACCCCACAGTCCAGGCTCAGTGTCCTCCCAGAGGATCCTCCTCCCCCAGGGCCCCACAATGACTCAGGCCAGGACTGTGAGGTGCCTTGGCGGCCTGCGAGGGAACAACTGGCTTCTCAGACACAGTACCAGGCACTGGACCTGGGGGTCTCCACAGGGTGCCTCTGACTGATATCCCTGTCCCACATAGAATGCTGTGGCCTGGAAGCGCCCCTCAGGAAGTCTTTGTGTGCCCCCCATCCTAGACAGAATCAGCCCGTCTGTCCCTGCCCTGCCCCAGGGGCCATCTCCCCAGCCCCAGAACCTCCCGCAGGGATGCTGGGCCTCTGAGGGTGCAGGGTCCAGGGAGACCAGGGGCTGCCCCATCTGGCCGCCCCCCCCCAACAGGGTCCCATGCCAGGCAGCTGGGAACCAGCAGGTGGCTTTGAACCTCGGCAGTGTCCCGAGGCAGCAGGTGCCCTGCCCCTGCGCTGGCCTCCAGGCCTTTGCATGCCTGGGTTCCACCCTTGACAACCTCTCACTCTGCACTCAGAAACCAGCTCAGGGCTCCCAGGGGCTCACAGGAGCCCAGAGTGCACCCAGCCCAGGACTTGGTCCTCTGTC